CCTTATAATACAGCAGTCCAGGGATAGGTAGGCAGGCCAGCACGAGGGTGGGGGGTTCTATCATGTTCAACTTGCATCTTCTACCATTAGGTTCAAATGGCTGCTTCAGCTCCCACCATCATATCTTAATTCCAGTCAGCAGGAAAAGGGAAATCAACCCCTTCCATCTAACAGCACCCTTAAAGGTTACATATAACATTGCTGCTCAGATCCCATTGGCCAAACTTAGTCATATGGCCATCTTATCTGCAAAGGAAGCTGGGAAATATAATCTTGCTCTTAGTTAAAATTGTAAGGGTTTACTAATAGAGGAAGAAGGATGAGGAAATAGATATTACTCTGCCAGAGTTCAACGTCTGTCCACCCCTTACAACAAGCACATTTAGCACCCCTCAGAGGGAGGAAAGGCAGGGTTCCAAGACACAGCACCAGCCCAGAGCCTAGGACCTCCGAGGGACCAGGTGCGGATGAGGTCCTCATGGTCTAGTGACTTGTAAACCAAAGGCAGGCAATCTGGCCCTCCCATTCCCCATAAACAACAGTGGAGAAAGAACAAGATAAACTCAAAACACACACAAAAGGATAAAAAGACTGTAGGTCATATATACATATATACAATAGACTATTACTCAGCAATAAAAAAGAACAAAATCTCACCATTTGCAACACTTAAGTGAAATAAGTCAGAAAAAGACTAATACCATATGATTTCTCTTAATGTGGAATCTAAAGAACACTATAAATGAACAAACAAAACAGAAACAGACTCAGAGATACAGAAAAAAGACTGATGGTTACCAGAAGGGAGGAAGGTTGGAGAACTGGGTGAAAAGGTGAAGAGATTGAGAAGTACAGATTGGTAGCTACAAAATAATCATGGGGATATAAAGGACAGCATAGGAAATATAGTCAATAATCTATATATATAAAAGGCTAGATGACCATCTGACTGGCTGACCATCTGACCAGTCGGTACATATAATGCACACTGACCACGAGGGGGCAGACACTCAACACAGGAGCTGCCGAGCTGTGGTGACTTGGCAGCAGTGTTTCTTGGGTGATGCACCCCAGAACCAGAGAGGAAGGAGCCTGACTCCTCATGGGGGCCATGTGTTCCACCTTCGGCCGTGGGTTATGTTGTTGCTGGGGCACTGTCGGTCCTGAATCTGGTTTACTGCTGAGCTGTGGTAATTAATTTCCTTTCAATGTGCACAAATCCGTGCACCGGGCCACTAGTAATGTAATAACTATGTATGGTGCCAGTTGGGTACTTGAAATATCAGGGGGGATACTGTGTAAATTATATGATTGTCTAACTACTTTGCTATACACATGAAACTAATACAAAGTAATACTGAATGTAAACTGTAATTGGAAAAAATTCTAATTATAATAACAAACAAATACATCCACTCAACAAGAAAGAACAGCAAACACCCAGCAGTCACTGGATCTTAACAGTTACTAAATCCAGTAGGATAGGAACTGCAAAGCTGCCTCCTAGCCATGGAGTAAGTTGGGCAGTGCATCTGGCCACTCCTGCTTCTGCTGTCTGGGAGGAGTTCCCCTGTCTACTCTCCCCTGTGGCCTCTGGCATTACCTCCTGGGAAGTTTTCTTTACCCAAGATCCTCTGCAGCTGCATCAAAGAACATATCTGCCTTCTTGCAGACCTTACAACTTTCACAGCCCTCCTCCTGCTGGTGCAGATTTGGGGGAGTGGGAATAACTGGGGGGTGGGGGTGTCAAACCAGAGTTTGCTATCCAGATTGTGGTTTCTTTGTGAAAACAATATCTTTAAAATCTTAGAAGTCTTCTGACTGGTTCCATATTTGAGTAACCACAGCCAATGAGCTCATATAGAGATAACTTTTATGCTTGAATACGCTGAACTTGGTGTACTTCCTAATCTTTCTCTCACTGCTGGTGGCTATCTTGAGGCCAGCTGAAACAAATATGCTTGGCTCTGAAGGGGACTCCCTTATTCTGCCCACTGAGCCGGCTTGCACTGTTTGCTGAACAGGGTGAGCTTGAGAAAGATTTGGGACCACAGATACAGCCCTTGCTAGGCCTGCCTGCTCCAAACTATCTCTTAGAACTAGCCTCAGTGCATCTATCTTGTAGGACTTTGCTTGTAGCAGCATGCAGCAGCCAATACGCACCAACAATCTCAGTGTTTCTGCTCATTTTCCGTGAGTGTTTACATATGCTTTACCTTTCAAGGGATCATAGATGACAGACATGTCCTATGTTTTGCTGTAACATAACAATGGTCACCAGCTTACCTGCATACAATATATTTCTTTGCTTTCTGCTGTCCATTCTCTAAACCAATGACACTTGTCTTAGGCTTTTAAAGCAGTGCTGCTTCCAGATACCAAATTTTGCATTAGTTAATATACATGTTTGGTTATTGTAACAAAGATCCTTTTTATTTTTATTTTTTTAAGTGTGGGGAACCCCTAGGACTGGGCCCCCAGGAGTTCTTTTTCATTTTTTAAAAATATATTTTATTGATTTTTTTTTACAGAGAAGAAGGGAGAGGGATAGAGAGTTAGAAACATCTATGAGAGAGAAACATCGATCAGCTACCTCCTGCACACCTCCTTCTGGGGATGTGCCCACAACCAAGGTACATGCCCTTGACCGAAATCGAACCTGGGGCCTTTCAATCCACAGGCTGATGCTCTATCCACTGAGCCAAACCGGTTAGGGCTTCATTTTTATTTTAATTGATTTCAGAGAGGAAAGGAGAGGGAAAGAGAAATAGAAGCATCAATGAGGAGAGAGAATCATTGATCGGTTGCCTCCTTCATGCCTCCTACTGGGGACCAAGCCTACAACCGGGCATGTGCCCTTGACCGGAATTAAACCCGGGACCCTTCAGTCCGCAGGCCAACACTCTATCCACTGAGCCAAACTGGCTAGGGCTCAAAGACCCCAATTTAAATGACTTAAGAAAGTTTATATTTCTTTCTTATAAGAGTCTATAGACAATCCAAACCTGGTAGGGTGACTCTGAAACCCTTAATAAACATCTTTCATAATTGATATAAGATAGCTGTTCTAGCTCCTGCCATCACATTAGCATTCCAGTCGCCAGAGGGTGAAAAGGAGAACTCATGTTTCTTTCTTTTAAGGCCTGACCTGGAAGTTGCTCACATCACTTCCACTCATATATGTCATTGGCAAAATTTAGCCACAAGGCCATATTTAGCTGCAAGATAGATGGGAACTTGTGTTTATAACAGGCAGCCATTCCCACTAAAATTCAAGTGATTCTATTACTAAAGGATGAAGAGGAAAATAGATTTTGGGAGGCAACTGGTAGTCTCTCCCACCTAATGTTTTTATCTTCATTTTACATTTGTGGAAACAGGCGGGAAGAAAGTGAGCAATGCTTGCCAAGGTCATATGGCCAGCCAAGGGCAGAGCATAAATTTTCATCAGGTCTGTCTGACCCCCAAACAGGCTTTGCATCACATCCAGCCAACAAATTTGATCATCAAGGTGCCCACTGTTTACTTAGAGATAAAAGATATTTGCATGTGATTCATTATGTAAATGCCAGTCCAGTGCATGCTGAAATGCGTCCAAAGAACACTCACAGACCATTGCAGTGAGGGTGATGCAATCAGGGAAGACTGAAAAGGTGCCTACTGGCCCTGTAGATAAACCATATCTGAGGTGGAGGGACCACAGAGTATTGCAAGAGAAGGTGATGGTGTGAGCTGATGTGTATCTAGTTTGTCTGTGAGGGTGGCCTGGGGAGCAAAAGGGGGTGGGGGTTTTCCAAGTCTGATGCATCGGATACCTCCAGGGATGGTCCACTTGATCTTTCTACCATTTGAGGTGTCCCATTAGCTGTGCCTTAGAAGTTCCATCATCTGACAGGGATCCTGTGGAAGGAGAGCTGCACTCACCCCTGCACTATCCAAGACACATGGATGGGCACAGTCTCTTCCCTGCTGTGTTCTTCCCCACCCCCATCCTTAGGCAGGACAGGGGCTTTGAGGGAGAATGGGAAATATATTCAATGAATTCAGCAAGAAATCCAGTAATCCATTACCAAGTGTCCACCCCAGGGCCAGAGACTAAGATGGAAGAGACTGAAAGAAAAAGAGGAAGGGGAGGGGCAGAGAGAGAGGAGCTAGAGCAGCTGGGTCAGCATTCCTGATTTGGACATTGACTCAGGCCCCAGGAATGCCAAGGAAGGGGGGTGGGCAGCCACCAGAGCCAGGTTGGGATCCTGTTGGCACCAGAAGGCGTAGAGACAGGAGACACAGCAGGATGAGGGGGTTGGGCTGCTGCACACCTGGGCTTACCTTCAAACCACAGGCAGAAACAGGTGTCTGTCACCCTGTGGACAAGTGTAGGTCCCAAGCCCTCAAGCCCATGGCACACCTTCAAGAGGATCGTCACAGGTTCCCACCTGCCTGAGGCTCCTGGGACTCAAATGGGGACGTCCGGACACATATTGGTCACTCTCCCGGAACCACCCACAAACCCCGTATCCCCAGCCTCCCAGCTAGCTGGCTGCAACCGCCCTTTCTAACTCTAATACCACCCCTGACTGAAGCTGGTACAAGGAAGAAAGGTAAGCTCAACCCGCCTCTATTTTCCTTCATTTGCCATCTGACAAAGATGAGAGAGGCCCTCAGAGGAGGAACCCACTTCCTAGCCCCAATGCCCCACATTGCTCCAAGCCCTCCCCTGGCCCTCCCTCCCCCCTTCCCCCCATACACAGCAGGGTCCTTCCTGTTTGTCCTCAGAGATCTAGAAGGCGGCCCAGGACCAGATATCAAGATTCCAGGTTGCCCCAGCCCTCTCCACCCTGCCCCCAGGCTTCTGGGCTGGAGCAGCTGAGCCGGTGGACCCCTCCCTCCCAGCTGCCTGACACCCAGAGAGAAACTGATATGGGAGGGCAGGGTGCCATGGGCCAGGCCCAGAATAGTGCTGCCCAGCCACAGTGGCCAGCACTTGCTCTTCGTAGGCCCGGCTGGCCCCATGGAGCCCGAGCTGGAGCACTCACTGAGCACGGTACAGGGGTCCCAGGGAGGCTGTGAGGGGGAACACACCACCACACTGTGTGAATGTGTGCGCGTATGCGGGTGTGTGTGTGTGTGAGACCTGGATTTTCTCAGTATAGAGCATGTGACGTGAATGTGTGCGCGTATGCGGGTGTGTGTGTGTGTGTGTGTGTGTGTAATGACCTGGATTTTCTCAGTATAGAGCATGTGAGTGTCTGTGTGTATATATTCTTTGTGTAAGTCAGTGTACCTGGGAGTGGTTGCATTTGTTTGTTTCTAGTGTGTATTAGTATTTGAGTATGGGTGTGTGGGTTTATGTGTGTTTGTGGGGTGAGTGTTTATATGTTTATATGTGTTTGTGAGGTGCATGTGTATGTGTGTTTACGTGTGCACCGTGGGAAGGGAAGGACCTGTGCTCCAGTACGTAGGGCATTTTCCCACCCTTTCAAACAGTCTTCTCCCCACAGACCCCATCCTGGAGCAGCCTGGTGGGTTCTCAGCATCAAGGTAGGTGGGCAGTCCCCTCCTGGTGGGCCCCCAATCTCACCCACTCCACTAGCCTGGCTTTGGTCTTCCTCCCCTTTTCTTTTTTTGTTCTTCTTTGTTTCTTCTTCCTTTTCCTCACCTGCTCCTTCCTCTTTCAAATGAAGAGAAGGTGGACCTATAGTCTGAAGACCCTGGTTCTGACTTTATCACTTACTGGCTGTGTGATTTGTGGCAAATTGTTTAACCTCTCTAATCTTGCTATGAGGTTTGGATGAGAAAATGTTGAAGAAAGGCCCTTTGAAAGCTTGCAAATATTAAACATTACTACTAATAACATTTTAATTGATTCTGTTATGTTATTCCCTATTAACCAAACAGGCCCCCTTCCCCCTTCCAGAGATGAGCTTCCTGGAGCAAGGAGAGAGCACTCCGTGGCCATCACCCGCCATGACCACCAGCTCAGAAAGAAGCCATCGGAAGCGGGGGGCCAAGGCCTCAGGATGGACAAGGCAGGAGGCTGTGGAGGAAGAGGACCTGCCAGGCCTGGGGGAAGGTGAGGCCAAGACTAGTTCTAGGGAGAATGGGAGGCGCGGTGCACGCAGTGTGAAGCCCCAGAGCCTGGGGCCTGGGTTTTGTCCTTGATTCTTCCAAAACACAGAGTTGGGCCCAACCCTCGTCTTGCAGCCTCAGTCTCCCCACATGGAAGAGGAGTACCACATTGCAGAGCCAGGGACTCAACATGGGTTATTCGGGACAGCACCACTGTCTCATGTGACTCCCTGAGACTCAGCTTTCTCATCTGCAAAATGGAGCCCCCAACATCCAGGCTTCCCCAGGCTGCTCTGAGGATAAACTGAGACAGCACATAATAAGGTACTTTGGGTGATGGAATTACTGTCCTCTCCCCCTCAAACAGGTCCCCAATCCAGGCCAGCTGCTGAGTTCATCGGGCTGGAGTCCACATTCCCCAAGGCCACACCCTTGGCCCAGGCTGCTCCCTTGGACATCCTCCCCTCTGAGTGCGCAGTCTCAGCCACGGGCTCCAGCGAAGAGTTCCCAGCCACAGTAGCTTGCAGGTCTGAGCTCAGCCTGGTGGAAGAGAGGCCTGCCCCGTGCCCATCCCCGCAGGCCCCGTTACCCAAGCAGGGCTTGGACGATGAACTGCAGAAGCCGGGAGCCCAGGTCTACATGCACTTCATGCAGAAGCACACCTGCTACGATGCCATGGCAACCAGCTCCAAGCTGGTCATCTTCGACACCACGCTGGAGGTGAGGCCACAGCTCTGCTCACCTCCATCCTCATGGGGCTGCACCACCACTCACACACTCCAGGATACCTAGCCAGGCCAGGCCTCCCAGCAGGTCCCCTTCCAAGCTCCTTCTTAGCACCCTGGAGACCAGTGTGGGCAGGGCTGCTCCTCTCTGTGAGCAACCCCTAACTGTCATCACAGCTCTGCCACTTAGTATCTTGGGGTCTTGGGTCAGCCACATTACCTCTCTCATCTCTACAACGGGGGTAGGAATGCAAAGGACTCCTACGACATCCCAGGATAGGTAGGAACACTTTGCAAACCCTGAATGATGTGGAAGATATTCCAGAATGGCTTAGGGCACAGAGCAGGGGACTCTCATACCATATAAATAGGATGAGCTCTGGCCCCTGTTCTTCCTTTGGCTGAGCTACAACATGCCTATAATTCCATTCGTATCATCGCGTGTAGTAAAACAGTGTTTCCCAAAGCATGGCATATGTGTCGTCCACAGTACATGATTTGATTCTAGTGACTTGTGAATAGATATATTTATATTAGTAGCTTTGTATTTATTTTAATATGTATTAGAAATACAAACAGGATGTTTAGATAGCATTGCTTAGGTAAGGCCAAAATGAGTCAATGTAAAATTTATTTAGATAAAAGTATTTTGTAAATCAACAAAATAATTATACCTCTAGTACTTATATTAGCAAAATTATACCGTGTGTGCCTGTACACATATGACTTCTGAGTGGAAACACAGTTGTTTTCACACCCTGGTGCCTGGTAGGGGGATCACCCCAGTGCCTCTGGCCACCAGCAGCCTTATCTCTGTAGTAAACATCCCCGACAGGGATTATGAGGGAGACAGGCTAGCTGGTGTGGAGGAGGACCTGTGAGAAGGAACCCTGGTTGGGACAGGGGACCACCGGGGGCAGTGAGAGACTCACCTCAGCTTCTCCCTGGCCCTCAGATCAAGAAGGCCTTCTTCGCCCTGGTGGCCAACGGTGTCCGGGCCGCACCTCTATGGGACAGCAAGAAGCAGAGCTTTGTGGGTGAGGAGGGCTGGGAGGCAGAGGGGTGGGGAAGGGTCCCTCAGAGGAGGGACCTTGTGTGGTGGTTCTGAATTTAATTTTCCCATCTGGGGAGGAGTGACCCCTCCAGCTCTACTACCCCACGGTCCCAGATCATAGGTGCTAGGTAGAAAAAGAGAAAAGGGAAGGGAAGAACTTAGGAGAATAGAAAAGGGTGTGGGGGGAGGAGAGAAATTGGAGGAGAAAGGGAGAACCCCATTCCTCAGGCACGGGGTGGCGGGGGGTGCTCTACTCCCCTCCTCCCACAATTCCCATTGCTGTCTCAGTACTAGGACATTGGAGGGCCCGGAGGGGGCGGGGGAGTCTGGCCCCTCACCCCGCCTCCCACCACAAGGCCCCAGGCTGATGCCCCAATACCCCACCCCCCACCCCACAGGGATGCTGACCATCACAGACTTCATCTTGGTGCTGCATCGCTATTACAGGTCCCCCCTGGTGAGGAATGGGCTGGGAGTCCAGCGAGCACCCATCTGGGTTGGGTGGTGGGGAGTTCAGGGAACCTGGTGCCCCAGGGACTTGTGTCTGACTTCTGGAGGCCTGTCTATGTCTCTAGGTCCAGATCTATGAGATTGAAGAGCATAAGATTGAGACCTGGAGGGGTGAGCGGTCCGAGGGGACCCGGAAAGGGGCTGAGGGTGTGTGGGTGTGGGACCAAGGGGCGTGGGAGAGGATGGGCTGTGGGGATTTCCTGGACGAAGCAGAGGAAGGGTGACAGGGAGCCCAGGGGGCCTGAGGGAGGGGATGCACTGGTGGGCTATGTGGTAAGGCAGGTTAGCCGCTTCCCTTGGCCTGACTCGGCTTTTTCTTCAGAGATCTACCTTCAAGGCTGCATCAAGCCTCTGGTCTCCATCTCTCCCAATGACAGGTAAGCATCCCAATCACCCACCTGAGCCTCCTTGCTCTACACAGTCCCCTTCCCCACCCCTCAGTTCTGAACACACCTCTCATCCTGGGAGGCCCACAAGGCAGCCTCAGCACCTGTCCTCCCGCCTAGGGACTGGGATGCAGGATGTCTTTCCCCAGGCTGCCTCAGGCTCACTGTTCCCACCCCTCAGCCTATTTGAAGCCGTCTACACCCTCATCAAGAACCGGATCCACCGCCTGCCTGTCCTGGACCCGGTATCAGGCGACGTGCTCCACATCATCACACACAAACGGCTACTCAAGTTCCTGCACATCTTTGTGAGCCTAGGGTTGACCTGATCATTGGGAAGGGGGCAGCTGGGAGCCCTGGAGGCTGCTCACCCTGATGGCACCACCTGTCCCCAACCCAACCAGGGCGATCTGCTGCCCCGGCCCCCATTCCTCTACCGAACCATCCAAGATTTGGGCATCGGCACATTCCGAGACTTGGCTGTGGTGCTTGAAACGGCACCCATCCTGACCGCACTGGACATCTTTGTGGACCGGCATGTGTCTGCACTGCCTGTGATCAACGAAGATGGTACCCACTCCAGGATAGGACTTAGGGGTGCGGGGGGGCCATGCGGGGCAGAGGTCTATGTGGCATCAGCTCAGGGCCCAGGGTGGAGTCTGGGTTAGAAGTCTCTGCCTGCTTTGAGCCTTGGACCAGTTACTTAGCCTCTCTGTGCCTCAGTTTCCTCATGTATAAAGTGGGCATCTTAACAACACCCATCTTCTGACTTGCTCTACACAGTCCCCTTCCCCACCCCCAGCTCTGCCTGTTTGCTTCCAACAGGTGGCCTTTACCTGGTCCTCTATTCCTGTTTCCTGTAAACCAGAAATTAGATTTAAGACTCTATCAGATCCAGGCTAGAATGGGATGATTTTATTATTATTCTTTATTTTTTAACATATTTTTATTGATTTCAGAGAGGAAGGGAGAGGGAAGAGAAAGAAACATCAATGATGAATCATTGATAGGCTGCCTTCTGCACGTCCCCTACTGGGGATCAAGCCCACAACCTGGGAATGTGCCCTTGACCGGAATCGAACCTGGTTCCCTTCAGTCCACAGGCCGACGCTCTATCCACTGAGCCAAACCGGCTAGGGCCAAAGGATGATTTAAAAGGTTTATGTGCCATCAAATGAACAAAATGAGAGGAAATAGTAGATGAGGTTTTTCATTTTAATTCATCCTAAAATGGGCCATGGGACCTTTTCAGACCTCAATTTCTTACTCTGAAAAAGGGTCAGAGGAATTACAAGACCACTTCTTTGGTAAACCATGGTTATAAATGATTTAAAAGTTAAATTGCCACAATGAAGCTACATATCAAGAAGTATTCTAATTTATTTTTTATCATGAAAAATTTCAAATGCATGAAAATGGTAGAAAACACTATATAATGAATCCCACATATCCATTGCCTGGATTGACAGTTAACATATTGCCATAATCAGTTCTTTTTCTTTTCTTTTCTTTTGCTGAAGTAATTTAAAATAAAATTATAGATATCATGTCATTTCATGCCTAAACATTTCAGTTTGCATCTCTTAAAATATTTCCTCTATCACCTAACAAAACTATAAATAATTTATTAATGTTATCTAATATCCAATTCTAATTCTCATTTCCCTATTTTCCCCAAGAACAAATACATACAGTTAATTTGTTCAAACCAGGATCAATTAAGGCCTATATTTTGCTCTTTTTGCCCTTTAAATCTTTTAACTCAAAACAGTTCCCTCCCCACTTAATTTTTATGATATTGATGATGAAAAGCCTGGGTCAGTTGTCCTATAGAATGTTCCATCCACCCCCAGCTCTGCCCGTTTGCTTCCTACAGGTGGCCTTTACCTGTCCTCTATTCCTGTTTCCTGTAAACCAGAAATTAGATTTAAGACTCTATCAGATCCAGGCTAGAATATTTCATAGGTGACTCAGTGTGCTCATATTGTGTCAGGAGGCATGATGGCAGGTTGTCTCTGTGATGCTGTGTGATTTGGGTTCAGATAATGGCCACCTGATGCTTCATTATAAAGCTAGTAGTCTAAGGGTGGGCGGGGGTGGGTATCAAGGAGTTTATTCCAAAAGCCCAGCCCAAGCCCTTGCACAGCATCCTGGTTCTGATCTGAACCTCTTCTGTCTCTCTCTCTCTCCCCACCCGCTACTCCTGCAGGTCAGGTCGTGGGTCTCTATTCTCTCTCTCTCTCTCCCCACCCGCCACTCCTGCAGGTCAGGTCGTGGGCCTCTACTCCCGCTTCGATGTGATCGTAAGTGTCTGTGGGGAATGGAGGGAAGCTGGAGCTGAGGGTGCTGCAGGGAGGCTGTGGGTGTGAGAATTAGTCATCTGTGGAACAGGGGGACCTTTTTGAGTGTGTGGCAGATGATATCCACTGGGCTAGAGCCTGGTTGAAGGGGTGACTAAGAGCGATACTTCCCTCCCTGCCCAGCACCTGGCTGCCCAGCATACCTACAACCACCTAGACATGAGTGTGGGGGAAGCACTGAGGCAGAGGACGCTGTGTCTGGAGGGAGTCCTTTCCTGCCAGCCCAAAGAGAACTTGGGGGAAGTCATCGACCGGATTGTCCGGGAGCAGGTACCCCGTGCCCTTCATACATGTTCCTAACACATATGGTCCAATCCTTCTCATGAACTGCTCCAGCTCTTCCTACACATTGGGCACCTGCCCTGTCCTCCTATTTCATGGCCAAGCTCTTGGTGTCCACACTGGTCTGCAGCTGGTCCTGTCCATTGGCCTATGTGCCATGGGCCACAGTCATCTGATCACACAGAGAGGTCAGAACCTTAACTGATTTCTAAGAGGCACCCTCTTGCTCTCCCAGTTATGTCCAGTTGTTGTCCCTGATTCTTGATGCCAACCTCACTGGTGCCAGAGCTGCATGGCCCTGCCCCCTTATCCAACCTCTGTGGACCCACAGGTACACCGGTTGGTGCTAGTGGATGAGAGCCAGCATCTCCTGGGCGTGGTGTCCCTATCCGACATCCTTCAGGCACTGGTGCTCAGCCCTGCTGGCATTGAGGCCCTCAGTGCCTGAGAATATGAGTCCTCATTCCCAGACTGCCTTCCACAAGCGGAGCCAATGAAGAGAGCTGGGTGTCGGCCTTCATCTTCCCCCACCCCTATTAGCTGGTTCGACTCTGGTTCAGGTAGGCTCTGCCCTGGGCTTTTGGCCTCAGCACCAGCCCCTCGGTCTTTCTGGTCTCCCAGATCTCAGATTGAGGCACCCTGAGGATGGGACTGGCCCAGCTCATAGCTGAGCAGCCCTGTGAAAACTATGAGTGTCAGGACTCACCATGGGGCCACCACTTTGTTCCATTCTTCTTTTTTTTTAAAAAATATATTTGTATTGATTTCAGAGAGGAAGAAAGAGGGAGAGAAATAGAAACATCAATGATAAGAGAATCATTGATTGGCTGCCTCCTGCATGCCCCCTACTGGGTATTGAGCACGCAATCGGACATATGCCTTGACTGGAAATTTAACTGTGATCTCCTGGTTCATAGGTCGATGCTCAACCACTGAGTCACATCAGCTGGGCATTTTGTTCCATTCTTTAGTTGAGGTCCTAGAGCCCCTCATAAGAGGAATGCACAGGGGCCAAGGTAAAGACAAGGGCCGTGTGATGTGACTTCAGGCACTCTGGGGAGATTAACCTGCCCTCTCACAAATCAATTCCCACCTGTTTGGAATTCCACTACTGGAAGGAAGCAAGTTAAACATTTGTTGAATGAATGGAATTTCCCCACTCAGTAAAAACTAAGGCTAAAAGGAGGGAGTTTCTAAATACTCATCTCAGTAAATTCCACGTGATCTCAGACTTTTTCCTGGGTGTGTGTTTGCTAAGGGTTGGCATAAGGGTGGGGCGAAAATTTCACCTACTTGGCAGTGAATGGCAAGACTGAGGTTCCCATATTGGAAAGGCAACCTCCTCTCAGAGGCCATTTAGTCACCATCTTCTTCTCTTTTCCTCACAGGCTTCTCCAGCCCTCCCTAAATGCCCTTGCCCTGACTATTCTCCCAGAAGCCCTCGGGAATGCCCAGTGCACTATGGGATGATGACATTAAGGAGAACAGCTGAGTCAAGCCTAGAGATCCCTGAATCAGAGGCACTGGGATTGCCCTAAGGCCCACTGCTCCCTGTCCACCCACATCACCTTCCCCAACCTGGGTTGTGACTGGCCCCAGTGGGGCCACGAGCCCTCAGCACATGGGTATAGTCAGGGGCTCAGGATTCTTCGAAGCTCCTAAGAGTCCCAGCTGTTCTTCCCCCTGGAGAACCTCTGACCTCCTACTCCCCCTGCACTGTCGTTTCAGGACTGCTGGGGGCACCATGGAGCAGCAGTTATTTGTAGAACTGCCTGTTAGAGTGGCCCACCCTCCATTCTCTTCCTCAGCTCTCACTTGCAAACAGTGTTCTCCGTTCCCAGTGATGGCCCTGTATTCAGATCACTGACGATGGACATAGAGAAAACAAAAACAAAAAGAACAACACACAAATTTAGGTTTTATACGTTTCGCTCAGAAAATGCTACAGTCATTTGATCTTGTGGCAAGACCCCTGCACTTTCTGAATTCGAAGATACAGAAGGAAAATCTGTAATTAGCAAACATTGCAAGTGGCGTTACTTTTGTGCAGAGTGTTATTCCACCAAAATGTCTTTTTCATCTTTTATTTATAACAAAACCATAAAGAAAATATTACTTACATAGTAGCTACAACTCACACCATAAACTCTATTCTGCAAGAAACATAACTTTATTTTTCTAACACTGAATGTAATTTCTATTATGAAGCCCCATTTACCAGGTGGTAGAAATGAATCTCAGTCAGTTTTGGGTTCCCCTTCCAACTTTTCCTGGGGTTAAGTTAGGTGATGGGGGGAAGGCTTTCAATAGTATGAGAATTTGTTCCTCAGTCTTCATCAACCATCCATGTCAGCTCCTGCTAAAATATCCCCATTCCATCTGGTTGTCACTTGGTTGGTCATTGGTGGGCATGGCCCCTGCTTGATGCCCCCTCACTCCCTACCATGAAGCCTCATTGGGCCTGCCTGCTCTTGGGGCATAAGAACATCCTAGCTCCTGGGCCTGCACCCTCTGGGCTTCAGGAAGCTCTGTGGGGCTGTCCCAAGCCCATCTGCCCAGATGGACAGCAAGTGGCCTGTTCTACTCTGAGCCGTACAGTTTTCCCAGCCTTTACCCAGGAAATATGGGGCCCAGGGCTCTTCTACTCTTTCCCCTCCAAACTTCTCTGGGGTATTAGTCATTCTTCCCCCCGCTTCAGAACAGCTCCTTCTCAGGGACCCCAGAAATGTCCACCCTCTTTGCTTTCCCAAACCCTCCAGTCTGTGGGGAAGAGAGGACATTTTTCTCCAACCCATCATATATTCTTCCAGATCCACTGTGTGTGCCTTGAGTTTCTGCCAATATATCTAAAGTTTGCTCCCACCCCATTTGCCTCACAAAGCAACAGTGTGGAGACATGAGCTTGATGGGTCAGGTAGTAAATGAAGGCATTTTCTCAGACTCTCAGCTTTTGTTTCTGGTTTTGCTCTGCTCTGGCCCTACCTGGAAAGGTACTGAGTCTCGGGCTCAAGTGGAAGGATGGGAGGGCGTGCTTGCTTACTCAAGAGACAGTGTCCTGGGGGGCTGCCTCCAGCTGCGCTGGTTCCAGGGAAAACGCAGAAGGGTCAGTCTTTGGTGCCCTGGGTTGCTCAGCACGAGCAGACCTTCAGAGGCCACAGCACAGGCTTTAGGTGAAAGGGCAGCCTGAGGAAGGCAGTCTTCCCCCTTCAGAGCAGATAGGTCTGCCCTCCTGGGCCCACCATCCTGAGGGCCAGCAGTTCACCCACCTGGGGAGAACGTTCTTTCAGTCAAAGGTACATTTGCTGTGCTGAGTTCATGTTTACTCTTCCTCAGTTACCCTCAATCCTATTGTTCTTTCCTTACAGTCAGGTTGGGTGGGTTATCAGGGAGCCTCACTGTGACATCCTTCCCGGTGACTTCTGGGGGCAGCCCAGGGTCTCTGAGACCTCAGATGCTGGAAGTGTGCCTCATCACTGGCCACTGATGGACTCTGTGCCAAACTTCAAACCAGAGCTGGTGTTTTTCACCCTCCAGAGAGAATAGTGCAAAGTAAAGAGCTCATGCTATTACATCACATCCATCCTGTCAAAGAAACATTAGACAAGTCTTGTCTGGGCATTGTGCTGGAATTTTAACTGGCAGAGGCCATTTTCAAGCCCCAAGATAAGCAAAAGAACTTCATGTGCACATCTGGTGTAGGTGCATTGTTCTGCAGGTATATTTCAATAAAAATAGCCTGGCCAGTGTGCTCAGTGGTTGAGCGTCGGCCCATGAACCAGGAGGTCATGGTTCAATTCTCAGTCAGGATACATGCCTGGGTTGTGGGCTCCATCCCCAGTTAGGGGCTTGCAGGAGGCAGCCAATTCTCATCATTGTTGTTTCTCTCCCTCTCTCCCTCTCTCTTCCTCTCCCTGAAATCAATAAAAACATATTAAAAATTTTTTTAATCTTATACAAATTAAATTTAAAAAAAGAACCTCTAGTACAAACGGAAAACTTCTTTGGCCGTGTTGTATTTTGTTTTACTCTGTTCTGGGTAGAAGTTTTTGATTCTTTTCTTCCCAGAGCTGTGTCTGAGGACAAGGTTTTGTAGTTGTGCTAATAGCTCTTTGGTTCTTATGTCTTGTGGGACACGATGTTCATTTGTCACTGATGGCAAGGCTTTTTGTGGGGAGCCTCTGAAGCTGTGCCTACTTCAGTAGCCTGCTTAGCTCTTGTTTCAGCTCTGCATTTCGATTTCCGATTGGAGGTTGGATTTTAGGTCCTGTAGATCCTGCACAGCAGAACAGTGCCGCCTCAGAATTTCCTGTGGTGCCTCCAGAGGTACTGCTTCCATCGGCAGCTATTTCTACCAACTCATTTCCACAGATTTCTTTCAATTGAGATACAATTCACATACCATTTAAATTCATTCTTTCAAAGTGTACAATTTAGTGGTATTTAATATATTCACAAAGTTGTGCAACCATCACCACTATCTAATTTCAGACCATATTCATCATCCAAAAGAAACTCTGTATTCATTAACAATCACCTCTCACTCTCCCTTCCCCTTGGCTTCTGGTAACTACTACACTAACCTACTTTTTGTCCCTATGGATTTGCCTATTCTGGACATTTCATGTAAATAGAATCATACAAGATGTTGTCTTTTCCAAATATATGGTGACAGAAGATGATCTGACTTTGGGTGGTGGGCACACAAGGCAATATATAGATCATGTATTATAGCTATCTACACTTGAAACCTGTATGATCTTATTAACCAATGTCACCCCAATAAATTTAATAAAAATATGTGGTCTTTTGTGTCTGGTTTCCTTCATTGACATAATGTTTTCAAGGTTTGTCCATGATGTGGCATGAATCAGTATATCATTCCTTTTTTATGGCTGAATAATATTCTATTTATGGATATACAAGATCTTCATAGATTTCAATGGGAAATTAGCCTTTATGTTCATTAGCTGAGCTGTAGATCATGAATGTTGACCCACTTGGGTAGATGCTACAAAATCCCACTTCCAAGACACATCACACCAATATTCCCCCACCCACATGCCAGCACTGAGGGGTTCATGTGGCTTGGCCGGCTCACCTTTGGTGGTCTGAAGGAACAACACACTGGGAAAGGCAGAAGTTTGCTTTGATTGGCATTGTGACAGGGATCCTGGCACCCTCTGAGCCCAGCCCCAATCCTCTGCATTTATAAGGAGCTCTCACAGGTGAACCCCTACACAGGTAGGGTTGAGATCCACATCTTTACAATCTGGAATTCCTTCCAATTATTTCCAGGTTTCTCTTCTCAATATGGAAAATTCATATCCATCCCTGTCCTTCCATTTCCTTCCTCCAATTCCAGTCTCTGCTCATTAAATAAACATTTATTGAGACAACCAAGATGGCGACATAGGTAAACACCTGAACTTGCTGCCGCGCACAACCACATTAAAACTACAACTAAAAGACAAAACGAATATCATCCAGAACCACAGGAAGGCCGGCTGAGTGGAAATTCTACAACTAGAAGGAAAGAGAAAAGCGCATTGAAGCGGGTAGGAGGTACAGAGGTGCAGAAATGCAGAGGTACAGAGGCGTGTGTGAAAGGGGCTGGAAACTGGGTACTCTGTTGTCTTTTTCAATCGGGAGGGAGATACAAGCTCCCGACTGCTCTGAACTCTAATTATGGGCAAGAATCTGGGGACCCAGATTCATAGGAGAGAAACTGGACTATCTGGCATTGGGCCAGAACATGAGGGAAGCTTTCTCTCTGAGGTGCTTGCAGTGGTCATTGTTCCTGCACAGGCCGCAGGACACAGAGACCCAGGGACCTATCAGGGCAGGGCTGACGGGCAACCATTGCTGTTTTCCCCACCCTGGTGATTCCCTGAGACCCCGCCCCACCCAATTTACAACCCCACCCAAGCTGTGCGCATAGGCGTTTGCATACGAATGGCCTGGTCTTTCTCTGCCTAAAAACCTGTCAAACTGCAGCTGGGTCAGAGAACCCCAGAGCTTCCAAAAGAAGGCCTAAGGTTCGTCAGCAGCCTGCATTACTTCACATCTGGGCCTCATTTGGGTACCTCCAAACCCCAAACAAAGAGGAGGAATCTGCAGATC